GTCGAAATTCTCTACTATCCTATTATCCAAACACTACACAATCACACAATCCTTCCAACCAAACATCATTAACTTTTTTTTTCTTTTAACGAAAATAAAAGAAAGTTTACTATAAATATTCACTTACTCTTATAATTACCTTAAAATTATAAAATTTAATTCAGATTTGCAATTTTTTATTTTGTATATTTGAATCATAGACCATATTTTTGAAGATTATGATATTAAATAAATACACTTTATTAATAAGTGATATATATTGATTAAGAGATAAAAATTTGTTGTTTTCAATTATTTCACGGATGTGATACATTTCTATACAAAATAATTGCAAAATTCATATATATAAACAAATTTTAGATTCCGTATAATAATTTTTCCAATAACCATAGATGATTTTTAAAACTAATACTATATTGATTTTATTAGCGTATCACATTGTCCCCAAACAAACATCATACATATACTACCATTAAAAAAGGTTTACCTAATTTGTCATCTATGGAGTACAAAAAAATCCCCAAACAATTGATTTATAAAAAAGAAATACCTCTGGATCAACCCTAAACCAGGCATTCTCATAGATCTTTTATAAATAAACGAATAAAAAACAGAGCAAAAACGTAAAAAAGTAAAAATAATCCGGCAGACTTAGAAAGAAAAATTGTGTGATGGTAAATCAATTTTGCAGAACAGATAAAGAAGAAAGACAGATGTATGTTTTCATTAATCAAAACTTGTTTATCTGCTACTGCCTAGCAACATGGAAGAGCTATTTTCTGTACATAGCTATCATCTCAACACAATATTTCATATCAGAAACGCAAGAGTTTATATCATCCAAACTCCTTCACATTTCTATTCCACTTTTGATACACTCTCTCTTACTATGCTTCGCTTGCGCTAGACTCAGGAAGAAATCAATGAATACCTGCTCGTAATCTGGCATCTTTCCATACCCTGCCAATTGAATCACAAATCTGTAATATTTACATTACCTGATTGACCCACAGAGAGTTTCATGAGAAAAGAAACAAAAAAAAAAAAGACTTGCCAGGAAAATAGTTGATGTCAATGACGTAAAACACATCGCTGCTCCCATGTTCTCTGATCATGTCTATGTTGAACAGCCGGAGTCCCTACAACCAGAAACTAGAGCCTTACAATGGGGGAACAGCTTCGTATTATATCCATTTATATAAAGCATTATGATTCATACCAAACGGTTTCGTAATTCTCTCACAAGCCCCTCGAGTAAAGGCTTTGGAGGTAGCTCTGCAGCAACAATTAACACATAAATCATACAACATGGTAAGTCCAATGCAATGAATCTCTTTTTACAAGAGGAATAGGAGGGTAGGAAATGGTAGGTATACAAACCAGCAACACGAGGGTCCAAGTCTGTTTTGTCTACTGAAGCTGCAGCAGATGATACCCTTGGGAATTGAAATACACCGGCAACTTTGGCCTTTTCACAATTGCTTACATTGGGTAGAGAAAACCGTCGGACCACCCTTATCACATCACCAACAACAAAAACCTTGAAGAGAACTCCACCTTGAGGTATAAAAGTGTGTCAAGATCGAATTGTAGATTCAAGCGAAATATCACAACAAATGCTGAAGTAAACCTGATACCATGATTTACAAATTCTTGAAGAACCAAAGGGGGTTCAAGTTCTGCAAGCGAGAGACGGTCATAGGCTAAGAACAACTGATGAGACTTTGCAGTTCCATCGACTAAAAGTGGCTTTGCAACTGGAAAAGTAAACAATAAGAAGGTTTATTCATTCAACTGTAGGCATACAAGAACATAAGCATAAATGAATCCGTCTCCAGATAATCAAAGTAGCCACCTGAGGGGTAGAAAATTCAGAATGAAAACTTTAGATACCTAGTGGAAATTTTAGACCGGCTTCTGCAACTTCGTCAGCGCTAGATGTTGTATCTTTTAAGACAACCATTTGTTTCGGGACACATACTATGCCTAGTACAAAGAAAACATAACATCATTTCAACTTCAGATTTTCCAACTCTGAAGAATAAACAAGGATTGCATATGTCTTATAGAAGTTACCATCACAATCTGCAAGATTTAAATCTGCAATACCCTGGAGCATTGATTGTCGATTATATATACGCTGGATTGCACCTGGAGGATCAAGTACAGTCACTTCTGGATGTTTTTGCTGGTAATCCTACAAGCGCAGATAGGAGAGAAACAATAAGCTGCTTTTGTAAGCTTTGGAACAGAACATTTGATGGTACTATTCAGACATGATGACTAGATAATTCCACACAGTGAAAGAGTGTTATGCAAATCGTTCAGACTGGACAGAGATCTCTCAGATATAACTCTTTAATTGAATAAATGAACAAGGTCGGAACCAAGTTGCTCAAAATCTCCTCCAAATTAAACTAGGGCCTTTTCTAATTGTTAAATTGACTGCTAACATAGTTGCTAGAATCACATGAATGGGTTAAAACTTGAGTCAGTAGTTCCATGAATTAGAATAAATTACAGAAAAGGCAGACAAGTTTGTCGAACCTCGATAACCTCGTGCCACGCATTTCCCAGCAACTGCAAGCAAAAAAACGTATAATCCATCAGATCCCAAGGAAACATCAGATCCCAAGGAAACGTATAATCCATCAACAACTAAATGATAGGTGCTCCGAGTATGAAACACTAAGCTATATGTTTAAACACAAACCTTATGCAAAACGACATCAAATGGCCCTTGTTCAGAGAGTGGCTTGTCCTGGTCAATGGACACAAAGGAAATGCCTTTTTTCCTATAAACACAACCAAGAGCTAATGTCAACATCTTCTTGGAAAACAAGAATGAATAAGAAAGCTAAAGGTTAACCAGAGAGATGTGCAAAAGCTAAGCAAAAGCAAAGACTCAACAGCTACTAAAGAAAAATAAAACCTCTTTATCCACAAATTAATCACTATTGCCATATCTTTTGTTTAAGAGGTTTATAACTACACAACTACTGTTTAAATAGAAACCTGTTACTGTTTGGACTAATTTCCACAAGTAGCTAAGAAGATTTCCAAGTAAGAGAAAAAAGTGAGTGAGCCAAAAAGGTTATTTTTAAAAATCCAGGAGACATTGACCAACCTCCCAGTGGAAAATAATACCAAAGGATTGTATAAAGGAATATTCCCATTGAAACAAGAGATGCTACTAACGCAAGAAGTGGATTATGGACAAAACATGGCAAATGGCAATCAAACCACAGTACAATCGACCACACTGACCATACACAGGATCAACAACAAAGTCTTGGAAAAATGTCAAAAGTCAGGACAAAAGTAAAATGGCAATCAAAATAAACAAGAAATTGTTCCCACAATTTCCTCAATTGATTGATACACAATTCTTGGAGCATAGAGAAAGATTGAAAACAAGAAAATGGGTACCTAGCAAGAACTTCAAGCTTGGGTTGCAAGAAACTCTTCTTCTTCTTAGAAGTCAAAGCATACCCAATAACGAGCTTCTTGTTCTCATGTTGCTGATGAGCTTGTTCAAACGTCGTCCTATCAAGAGCCACTTCACCGTCTGTGTTATTTCCTCGAGGCACCATATTATCCCCTTCTACTCGCACACCTAATTCTTCAAATCCTCCAAAGAAAGAAACCAAAAAAGCTCAATTCCCAAAAAACCTCAGACTCAATCTCGCAGTTTCGATTTCGCTTAAGAATAACCCATTAGAAGATTCTTCTTCAAAACAATCTTACTCCGATTAGATTGAAACACTGATTCGCTTAAAGCAATATAGCGAACGAAAACCAGAGAGATTCGAACACAGTCAAATCAGAGATGAAGAATC